TGGTGCGAGTTTAAAACCGCGGTTTGGCGCTTTTGGATAATGCGAAATAAGTACACCCGAAGCGTCGGAAAAAMGATGTTAAGCCGAATCCCTAATAAAAGCGTACCCAAACTTTTACAAATTTCTGGTCACAATTGAAATTAATTTTTATACTGCAGCCTGCAGGCCTTACATATTTTTATAAATTGTGTCATAAAAAAAAAGTACATTGGAACGGAATTCTATAGTATTATTATTTATTTTTAAACTAAAAATTATCGTTAGACGTTTGTAATTCTTAAAACTTTATTAAAAAATYTTTTTTTAAGCTTTTATTTTACTGACACTACCTTTTTATATTTTTAATTTTCACAGGTCGATTGGAATACTTCCGCGGAATAACGTTTATTTTTAAATTGGACACTAGACTATACTATATATCATATATCTTTTCTCATAATATTAAACAATTTGACGATGGTGCTTACTGCTTACTGATTTTATATGAAGCAAATTAATGTTATATTATCGTAATATATATAACATTAATTACAATATACATAATATAAATTTGTAGCTTATTAGTTCAATGAAAATAAAATAAAAATATCATATAATATTATATAGTATATAGGTACCTACTCGAGAAAAAAATTTAACATAAATGCTCTTTGGAAATATGTGTAACATTACAGCTAAGTACCTAAACATGATTTAATGGATAATTGTGGATTATACAAAATATAGTGAATTACCTCCATTCTACAAGTCTGTTTTTGTCAGATAAATAGTGGTCGTGGTTAATAACCCACTCATGTTTAACAAAAACAAAAATGTTTGTAGGTATAATATATTATAATACTATAGTGTTGGCCAACGATATCGATAATTCAATACGATATCCTGGGTATTTTTCGAATAATTTCGATATCGATATCTAAAAATAATTATCGAAAATATTGCGATATCGGCTCGGAACAATTTGTGTATATTTAAGTATTATGTAACTTTTATTACTTTTATCTACTAGATAATAAATTATAGCATATTGTGATATATTTCAAATAAATAATTCACCACACTAAACAATTTACTCTAAATTCAGTGCCGGTTGTTAACTCGCGGTGAGAGTGGTGAGACCCCGTAATTATTTATTAAATAAATAAATACTTAATGAATACTTTTCAGTTAGTACAGAATAATTAATAATTGATAATTAATTTACACTCATAATATGTATTAAAATTTATATGTATACTTTTATAATAAACTAAATTATATAAAATGTAACTTGTTGTAAAATATATAAAAATTTAAATCGATATCGCTTATTAAAAATACATCGTTGGCCAACACTATTTAATACACATCATCGAAATATGTACCACTACCAGTCACCTTATACCGCGGCTCTACCTACTTAAGTAGTTAAGTTTATGATGTTTTTATTCGTATGTTTTGTACAAGTTATCTCATATTTTTAGGTTATAAGTCTTGTACACACTAATAGGTACTCGTATATAACACATACTGCAGACGATAGTTTTTGTTTGTGTCTTTGTGAAATGATATGTAGGTCGGTGCCTACATATATTATATACTATAATACGATACAAATAAATGGAATATTTAACGTTATTAATTATATAATATTATATTATAATATCCACGACTCTGCATAAGTTATTTATTATTAAATTATTTACCWAATGGTAAAAAATTAGCTCCATTCGTACTTTGGCAGGTACCTAGAGAATTCAATCAAGGACCTCTTTTGTAATCCCTGCCACAGAATCCCAGAATTGGTTAGGTACTATTTTGTTAGGTACTATAGAATTCCTACAAAACCACTCGCATAGTCGCATTATCCCTAAGCTCGTTGAAAAATTGAATTTAATATAAATATGAATAACATTCAAAAGGACATAAATAAAAAATTGATTGTTTGTTATAGTTATAATAACTGAATCAAATAAAAACATGGGTAAAAACTGAATTAAATTGAAATAATCCAAACAATATTTAATATTTACATCGTATGTATAGACGTCATAGAGAGAGTATGTATAATATTATATCTATAAACTATAATACTACCTGCGCGGATTTAATAGTGATAGGTAGGTACATGTAATATATATCAAATAACAATAAAATCGTACTGTTTTTTTTTTTTGCTTTTTTTATAGGGTTTCAGCTCGGAGATATTACGTCAAATTGCATATATGGTGTAATTCGTGTTGGACTAGTCGTGTGTTTCAAATGCGTATTAAAAGAAAATCTAACACTTCAGATGAACTCACTCTGCGAAGGTCGTCTCTTAAAAATATTGTATATTATTATTGTTTTCTGCGCTGAAACGAAAGCACATAACAAATAACTATCTAAGTTATTTTTGTAGCTGCGGGTGTTTATAACAATAAGTATTATTGTATCTAGATAATATATTCAGAGAAGATCGACGATGATGACGTGATGTCTCAATACYATTTGTTCGTAACTAAACACATAATATTTTGTTCATCACAAGACCAAGTGGTAATTTTTTTTATTTCTCATTCGAGCGAATAAGAAAAAAAATGTTGTTTTAGTATTTTATACCCAAATCTAAAAAAAATCCTCAATATTATATTATAAATTCAATTTTTGAAAATAATTACTGAATCTAATACGTCATGGAAAATCAAAACTAAATTTGMTTTCTTATATTACATAAAATATCAATATATTGACGAATGTAAATTACACCTGCGTTGTGTTTGCATACAATTATAAATAAATCAGAAGTTAGGTAGAGCCTATCTAAAATATACGGTCGGGAAGATTAAAATACAATTTATTATGTCCGAAGAATAATATACAACTACTTATTTAAATTGCTAGTGTTGCTAGTTTGCTACCTATTCTGTATTCAAATAATTTCAATAATTTTATGATAAACTCTCCTGAATACTTGTGCTATTTATTCGGAAACTGAAGTTTGAATGTATAACTATTAATATTAAAAATTACCATTGTGTTGACATACCTACAAACTGTAAATTACTAATTAACAACCATGTTAAAATTGTGCGAGACAAAGCGTATTTGATATTTTTTAAGCATTACGTCTTACTGTTATAATTTATAATRTTATGTTTACCTTTTGAATTACAATTAATATGATTTGTAAATATACCTACACAGTAACAGTATGATGGATATTTAAATTCTATAAGAGGTTTTCAAAAATAATTAACTTTTATTTTGTTTTATTTGTATCATGAAACATTGATTTTTTTTATTACGTAATAATATTAAATAGGTAGGTACGTTCTATAAATAACAGCTAAATCAATGATATATTTCTAGTTTTTACGCATCTAAAATATTATTCAAGCGATAAGGTCTTAGTATCCATGCTATACATATTGTGTCATTATCATTTTTAAGTACCATATTATTAATTCAATTATTATATTTCACGGAGTAGGTACTTAGAACTAATGTATTTATTAATTATTCATTTGTATGTAGTTTTATTATTTTCATTATTATTATTATTATTATTATTTACTAATAAATTACTTATAGATTAAATTAATGAAACTCAATTTTATCTGATAAAAAAGCATTATTTTTTAATACTCAAGTATAACACGTGTAAAAATTTAATGTAACTTAAACATTTAGTGTAAACTTTGGTTTGTGTCTTACAATTTATTAGCTACTTAATAGGTAACTATATTATATATTTATTCAAATTTCAGATATTCACTAACATGTTTTATTAATTACCCACTAATATTAACGATCAATTCGGAATTCGTTAATATTTTCGTATGGTAATTTTAATTCGTAAGCTATATTTTATAATGCATTTGGTAATACCAACTTGGGACCAGAAAAGTTTAACATAATTAATATAAATTATTTTACATGTTGATRATTATTTATTTCAAGGAATATTCTTAAATATTTTTAATAAATATACAATGATAAGTATCAAAAATTATTCAAAACATTCCATAAACCAACATTTTTAATCAATTTATAAATAAAGTAATTTATATTAAATAGCTAAATTGTAAAATACTAAATAGTCTAGATAGCTTAACATTAAGGGTTATCTTTGTCCGACATTTACAAAATCGCTTTGGGAATGTATTTTGTAGGTACCTATACTTTATAATCAAACTCATATGGCAAAATATATTTCATATTACAAAATTTAATAGGGTCATACAATATTTGCATATATTAATTATAGTCAATATTTATACAAAAAATTAAAGGATTTTCAATAATTGTAATAGGTACCCAAAAACACCAGCGTCGGGAAATATTATATTGAATTATTATAATTTAAATARCTAAGTTTAAATTTAAACTGAGTTTGGTTCTGCAATATATTATGATGATATTATTGTGACGACTGTTAACATGCATAAATGTATACCTACGCTGATAATATCTTCCTGACTTACTATAAATATTTTAAAATTGGTTTTAAATATTTTTAAACGAACATTATATTCACATTAATTGACGGATAAAATACTGGCACTATATATAGCATCTTAATAAAATAATTTTACATTGGACAATGTATAGTTGTTAAAAATCCAAAGTAAAAAATTATGACGCATATTATGATTTATAATACATATTTTAAAGCACATTGTACTTTCGAGATTTGTATGTACTTTTGCTGCTTTTTTTTTTGTCTGCACGTTTTACGAATTTAGGTAGTTATAATGAAACCAGTAATATAATATTAGTTAATCCAAAAGTTCTTTTGCCATATTGGCCGCATGGCACCTACAATATATAGCGTTAATCGAATAAAATGTAAATTCTAAGAGATGATCTAATGTGTAAGACCAACCTAAGTACTTTTCATACCGCGGTGGTCCACGTGCATTTTAAACATTGAGCACAGCTATAGGACATTATCGCCGAGGGTTTGTGATTATAAGTAGTTGACTGTACCTATACTTATATAGATAATTGTAATCGAATCAATGAAGTGATTTACGTACTTTAAGAAGATAACGTTCAATGAAATTGCACAGCACCAACACTAATTCGTACATGAAGCCGTATGAAATTAAAATTATAAATTACATTGGCTCGAGTACCTGTTTGTAGTTCTATTTACCGCTGCAGCGACTTGAATGGAACCAATTAATTAAACTGTACAAATAAGTAGGTATGAAAATATCGCAAGCAGATATACTATAGGCAGGCGCCCGCCGGTGGTAAGAAAATCGACTAGGCGACAGAACGAAAAAAAACTCCGTTTGTTCCCGTGTCATCGGCTCACGACTGAGTGTTATATAATAATATATTAAAAA